CTTTATGACCCGCCAAGTCTCTGATCCGTATAGTAGCACTGACTTTACATTGGAGTTGAAAATCCGGATCTTATTTTTGATGCTGACTGCTGTTGACCTCTACACAGACTTAAGAGTAATGAAAGCTATTCTTGCTTTTCCTTGTTGTATCTCACTACGAAGTTCTGGAATTTATTACTATCTGTCTACTTTCGAACACTGAACCTGTTGATTTAATTCTGTTCATTTAATATCACTGACTACTTATACCTATAACAAAGTATTTTTTGACATCTTGTGACCTTTTAACACTAACATATCTATAATTGTATATATTGTTGGATTTATATGTTCAAGTTGGCCCAAGTCAGTGAGTCTATCGTTTTGATATCATTTTAGTTAACTGTGCCTAACTGTATTGCATGTTGTTGTATTGTATTGTTGTTGTCGCTTTTTGCCCTTTTTGCCGTGAATTGTTTTCCTTTTGCTGGTGTTGTTCTCATTGTTTTATCCCCTGTTATCCGATTTTAAGGGGAGCAACCCAAAAGGTCGCTTCTCTCTAAACTTTAACTTAATGTAATCATTCCTTTCTCAGGCGTGAGGCTAGCAACCCCACCCTGTAAACAAAGTTGCTACAGAACCTTCAGCAAAATGAACCTCTTTGCACCAAAAGAAAAAGTCTGTGTGGGGACATGGAACGTCCGCACCATGTACGAGACTGGAAAAGCTGCCCAGATCGCCAACGAGATGAAAAGATACGGAATACAAGTGCTGGGAATATGTGAAAGCAGATGGAATGGGAGTGGACTCACCAAATTGTCAACGGGTGAGTCAGTGATCTACTCCGGTCACCCAGAAGATAACCACACGCACACCGAGGGCGTGGCTATCATGATGTCACCAACGGCAACGAAAGCCCTGATACAATGGGAGGCGATTTCGTCCAGGATAATGACCGCCAGATTCAACTCCAAAGGAAGGAAAGTGTCAATCATACAATGTTATGCACCCACAAACAACGCAGACCTCGAAAAGAAAGAAGAATTCTACAGACAACTACAGGCAACAATGGACAATACTCCAGCTGGCGACATGAAAATACTAATGGGAGACATGAACGCCAAACTGGGACCAGACAACACAGGAAGGGAACTCATCATGGGTAGAGAAGCTCTAGGAGAAATGAATGAAAATGGAGAACTCTTCGCCGACTTCTGCGCCTTCAACGAACTAGTGATTGGTGGCAGTGTATACAAGCACAAAGATATCCACAAGGCTACATGGGTGTCACCAGACGGGCAAACCAAAAACCAAATCGACTTCATCTCAATCTCAAGGAAGTGGAGGCGCAGCCTACTGGACACAAAAGGAAGAGGAGCAGACGTTGGCTCAGACCACTATCTCGTACAAGGGACAATCCAAATCAAATTAAAAGCTTTCAGGGAATCAGGAGCTGCAGATAGACCACAAGCCAAGTTCAACACTCAAAAGCTGAAGGACCAGGCTACAAAGGACATCTTCATTGCAAGCATAAAGGACAAAGCCGAGACACAAATCAACACTAGCGAAGAGGTCGGCGTCGAAAAGCACTGGAACAACTTGAAAACGGTGTGGAGCCAAACCTGCATAGAAATTCTAGGCAGAAAAAAGAGACAGGACAAACAGTGGCTCACTACGGACACTTGGAAACTAATAGAAGAGAGAAGGACAGTGAAGCAAAAGATTATCCAGTGCACCGACGAGCAACAAAAACAGGAGCTGAATGCAAGCTACAATACACTGAACAAAAGAGTGAAGAAGAGTGCCAGGGAAGACAAAAGAAAATATTATGAAACCATGGCAAACGAAGCAGAACAAGCTGCAGGCAAAGGAGACCTCGCCACACTCTACCAAACAACTAGGCACCTATCGGGCAAACGTTCGACACAGATTAAGCCAATAAAGGACGACAATGGAAAGTCAATCACCAAAGAGGTGGAACAAAGAAAACACTGGGCTGAACACTTCAAAAGACTTCTAAATCGTCCGCCACCTACAACACGCCCAACAATACCAACAACGGAAGCAGAACTACCAGTGAACACTGACCCCCCGACGAAATCAGAAGTCCTGAATGCAATCAAGATGCTAAAAGCTGGGAAAACACCAGGACCAGATGGAATCCCAGCAGAAGCTTTGAAAATAGACCCAGAGACAACAGCGGACTTGATGACGCCACTGCTGGAGAAGGTGTGGAAAGAGGGCAAAGTACCCGAGGATTGGAAGAAAAGATACTTATTCAAACTTCCAAAGAAAGGAGACTTAAGTCAATGTAAAAACTGGCGCGGAATTATGCTTCTGTCCATTCCAAGCAAAATACTAAGTCGCATCATCCTGGAGAGAATCAAACAAGCCCTGGATGAAAAACTTCGTCCGGAACAGGCTGGATTCAGGAGAAACAAATCATGTATTGATCAAATCGCCACTCTACGGATCATCATTGAACAAAGCTTGGAATGGCAGTCACCTCTCTATCTCAACTTCATCGACTTTGAAAAGGCCTTCGACAGCGTCGATCGAGAGGTCATTTGGAAACTACTTCGCTACTACGGGGTCCCATCGACAATTATACATCTCATCCAACAGTTATACGACAATGCTGCATGCCAAGTAATCCACAACGGGAAACTTACGGAAGCCTTCGAAGTGAGGACGGGAGTGAGGCAAGGCTGTCTACTATCACCAATGATCTTCCTGATTGCAGTAGATTGGATAATGCGACAGACAACGGGCAACGAGGAAACAGGCATAAAATGGACTCACACAAAAAACTTGGAGGATCTGGACTTCGCCGATGATATATGTCTGATTTCCCACAAACTGGAAGATATGCAAGTGAAAAGCAACAAGTTGGCAGAAGAAGCATCAAAGATAGGACTTCACGTGAACATAGATAAAACAGAGGTGATGAAGATTCCTGGCCAACACCAACAGCAACAACAACACAACAGACAACAATCAGCATAAATGGGAGGAACCTGAAAGAAACAACCTCCTTCACCTACCTGGGAAGCATCGTTTCAACTACAGGCGGAACTGACGAGGATATCAAAGCCAGAATCGGAAAAGCAAGACAAGCTTTCATTACTCTCAAATCTGTGTGGAGGTCAACAGCACTCAGCATCAAAAATAAGATCCGGATTTTCAACTCCAATGTGAAGTCAGTGCTACTATACGGATCAGAGACTTGGCGAGTCATAAAGAGCATCTCAAACAAACTTCAAACCTTCATTAACAGTTGTCTTCGCTCAATACTCAAGATCAGATGGCGGCCAGAAAAGATCAGCAACAGGGATCTCTGGGAGCGAACCAACCAGGAACCGATTGTGAAACAAATAGGCAGGAAGAAATGGAGATGGATTGGCCATACGCTGAGGAAACCATCAAGTGACATCACTAGACAAGCCATTGCTCGAGTGGAACCCGAAAGGGAAGCGGCGAGTTGGTCGTCCAAGGGTGACTTGGAGGAGGTGATGTGAGGAGATGAAAGCATGTGGGCAGACTTGGAGCGGAATGAAAAAGTTGGCAGAAAATAGAAGGCAATGGAAACGCGTAGCTGAAGCCCTATGTTCCTCTAGGAATTAGAGGATATAATAATAATAATAATAATAATAATAATAATGGTTAGAATCGACAAAATACCCAGCTAGGTATCACGTGCGATGGTAAATAGAAAATCACCTGTCACTCATTCACAAAACAATTAGGCATATTTGAATGAATAGTGATCTGGTTAGGCTAAACCTTCAATTAAGAAGATAAGATCAATAAGAAAAATCTAAGGAATGCTGTATTTAATTCAGCAACTAAACACGATAGCAAAATATCACACTATGTCAATGAAGACAACATTGCATAAAAGTAAATTGATGGATGATAGCTAGCAGTAGAATCCAGGATGCGCGTTTCGTCGTATTTGGGACTCGTCAGCTGGATGTACCTGCATCCCGCAGTGAGTGATGATGTTCCTACCGAGGCTCCAACCCAGTGACCATAGTTTCAACTGCCAAAGCGTTATCAACTAGACCACTTGGGCCACGAGAGCCACCTCTTGTGGAACGGGTCATATTAATTATTCAATTGAATTTTAGATTTTCCTGTCAATTGATTGGACCGAAGTGCTCGGAAAAAGCTTTGGCGGTTGAAACTATGGGCACCGGGTTTGAGCCTCGGTGGGGACATCATCACTCACTACGGGATGCAGGTACATCCATATGACGAGTCCCGAATAGGACGAAATGCGCATTAACATGGATTCCACTGCTAGTCACCATCTACCAATTAACTTTTAATTACATCCCCAGACATCGTCAATGCATCTGCACAAGAAGCCGACATGTCAACCTGAGACCTAGCACTTCGGTCGAATCAGTCGACGGGAAAATCTAAATTGAATTAAATAATTGTATAAAATTGATTAAATAGAGTGTTCACTAGAAATTGTGCATTGGAAAGCGTATCGACTTGTATTTTTTTTAATAGAGTAAATCCAGTGTGACAACAAACCCATGCCCGATATAACCTAATAAAATTTACAACTTTGACCGAACAGGGATGAAGTATCTCAATGACACCGGCTTACACTCGGCACATTAAATAAAGAAATATATTCACACGCTCCATGGATCCACAACAATGCATTTGCGGACCAGATATTTTCATATCACCAGATGTGAAAAAAAACATGAACTACAAATCAAATTAGTCAAAAATGATTTATTCCCGTATTTCCCAACTCTTAATTCCACATAATTATTCCCTTGAAAAATTATATACAAAATATAGCAAACCAACTGAACCAAATAAATAAAAAAATGATAAAAGTGATGGTTCTTTGATAAGTTAAATTATCAAAATAAAAGCTGTTTTAGGGTAGCTGTAAGGAAGGGAGAAAAGTCAACATAGGTTTACATATACCAAAAATAAAAATTAATTGAATAATAAATATAAAGGAATAAATGACGATATTATCAGTGTTAATGTCATTGACGAGTGGTATCTTGTCTTTCGAGATCCTTGTGCGTTTGATCAATTTGAGTGCACCAATCAGGAACTATACCATTTTCTAAATAACTTATCCGACTTAATGAACGACCCGGTAGACATTCTAATGCTCCGAAAATAGCACCTGGAGAGAGAGCGAAATATTTATCAGACAGAAATATATTGAAAACAAACATAATGAATACTAAATGTACTGAATGATTACTGTAACCTGATACATAAAGTAAAGCAACTAACTAATGTATGTAAACCGAAGTGAATTATCCACAATAATTTCACTGTCCACTGTACAACGTGCAGTCAGATAACACTGTGCCCCCAAACCACTTGGTACGGCCAAGGGTAGGCAGATTTTGATATTACTGCGCTTTCATGTGACCACCGGTTCATAGCTTCTGTTAGGTAGGTCCTATTCACTGCCTTCACACAGCGGGGACGATCCTTACATAGGTGAAAGGGCGAATACGAACACCTGGCGCCTACAACCGGACTGGTGGACATACGGGTCTACCTGCGGGAGCTGTGAAACTTTGATTCCAAGCCTATGGTGTACATAGGCTGCAGAATGGTGTACGAACCTGTCTTGGTCACCGCCAATAATGGGAAGGTAGCTCCTGACGCTGCTCCACTGTCTTGTGGATCAGAATTCATGTAAAAAGCTCAAGGAGTGGCTCCCTTAACGGAACCACCTGCTTCAGTCTGGGCATCCGGGTAATATCCCAGCCCTCACACAAACTATGAAACATTGTGTGGCACATCTCTTGATGCCCGCAATGTGCCGAGTTTATAATTTAATAATAATAATAATACCAGTACTAAATCATATATTATTCAAAAATTAAGATCTCTATGAAGTGCGAAACATTTTTTTTTAAATAGTATTTCAAACTTACTAACGAAACTATGAAAAAGACATTAAAAGTGGTCCTTTGTGTCTCAAAAAGTAGGGGAAAACACCATTTTAATGAAGGCTGTTGCTTGCGCACTGCCAAAACAGTGCATAGCCAAAGGTCTGAATAACAGCCACAGAACATTTAGTTCCCTAGTCTGATACGCACACATACTACCTAAGTTTGATCCGCCTAGGTAATCAATTTTTAAACAATTAGAATTTACAAAGACTTACCACCAAGCCATCCTATGTAATTTGCCTCACCAGGTGGTGTATGAAACTTAAAAGACCCCTTTAAGGCTTGTAGTGTAGAGAACTCAGGGAGATCCAGGTGTGAATTGAGTTCCTCTTGAAGACGGGGTAGGAAACCAGGGATCATGACTGTACCACCAATGAGTATAATGTTTTCTGCCAAATTTCTGTCGCAGAGTAAAGAGTTTCGTTTGAATGATTTACAAAGCAGAGAAAAACAGAATCACAACATTGGAAGGCACTGAACAACAAGTAACACACATTTCACTAAAATAACACAAAACAATTGCCGTTTACTTACGATAAAGAGAAAATGCAGCAAGAAATTTGGAAAACTACTTTACGCACCAATGAGGTAAATTAAAACCAACTTTTACAGATCAGTGTGATACACCATTCACAAGTATGATTTATCGGATCTACCATTTGGCAGGGTAGTAAAGTCATCCACATTTCTGACCTTACGTCGGGTAACACAGTCCTCACTTTTACGAGACCCAATTTATCAAGTATAACCACAATAATGGGACTTTCCTATGTAACCAAAAAACTTCCCAAATACTTCAATTACTCAGGAAGCGAAGCTTAACATGCTGGTCTCGAATAACTTGGACGGAATTATGATGTCACTGGGTACAAAACTAAAATTACATCTCATTCAAAAACAAAGTTTGAGAGCTTGCAACATGTTCTACGCTTATCGTCAAGTATACCGACAAAGACAGAACCGAAACACACAGTCAATTAAGCAAGCAATAACCCTAAAGCTTTCAAAACTTTGGGTTGTTTTACATTTAGTTCTAAAGGCCGTCTCTTGTCGAATATCTTACTAAAAGCTGATTAAAATGCCCAAGACTTTGCATAAGTTACCACATTTCCCAAAAGAACCCGTAAGTATAAGGAAGAAGTACAGTGGCAGATTTACGCCAAACAGAACGATTACATGGAAACTAATGAGGATTTTCGGAATCTGGAAGAAGATATGGAGTAAACACGCCTTTATTACTGCAAACAATTTCCAACCAATTCAAAAACAGTACATCCCGAGAAAACCAATCAAACAAACAGGTCCGACTACACCTAATTCTTTTCGAGCATAAACTTACTCCAATTAAAATTCTTCGTTGACGAAGGTACATGCGTACTACAAGTCTAAGCCATTTCAATAGACAGACCTTCACATCTTCAAACGACTTCCCCTCTTTATGTAATAACCTCCACTAAACTCAATAATTGTTTACAATGTCACGTCACCTAATGTAGGCAACCGATAAAAGGCATTGATGATAAAACACGTCATATCTGTTGATGTCTTCTTGTTTCAACCTTCAAGTAATACAGAACTGCTGTGCAGTAGATGTGCCTTTCGATAAGTAGTCGAATTAAAGGAACAACATTTTGAGAGCAAAATAAATGCAAGATGACTTCAAACTGAAAGAAGCCAGTGTTTTCTATAACTACAACTTGTGATTTGAAAGGTGATAAATAATAAATCTAAAGAGTAGTACCCTCTATAGGTGGTGACAATATAGATTTTGGATCCAAAATGTAAACACGTATAGAACATTTATATAAACGAAATCAATTTTAGATTGTACACACCTTTCTGTACTCACACAACTGAGTGAATCTAGTCATAGATTAGGACTTACATAAATCTACCTTTTTGCGAGCAATAGTCGTTTTGATTTGAAATACATCGATCTACGTGGTGCCAGTTTGTTACAAAAAAATCAAAACTATACGATTTAAGATTTTACAAAAGACTAGACCGGACCAATGGAATGGGATTTTACTACAGAGAATTCTGTAGATTTTACTAGATTTTTACAACCACACAAAACTAAAATGACGTACGCTGGTATACGATAATTAACTTAAAATAAGCTTGAAGCGCTTAGCAGTTGACTTGACAACTACCCATAATAAACCCAAAAATACACTTCCATAAAGGTTAAATACTCCCATATATACTATCAAATGTCGAATATACAGTTACCTATCCATCTAAACTTGCAGCCTATTGGCAGTTACGTTGAGACTCAATAATGTGAAGCGATAGTTTACACTTTGACGAGGCACAGACTAAGAACATTTCAAATCAATTAACTGAAATGTTGCAAAGACCGTCAAAACATTCCCTTAATATAACTATCATTTGTATGTTTTTAGTCAACTAAGGTATCAACCCCTGTGAAATCATATAAATTAAGTTGGAGACAGTGGACACTGTTATTGAAAAACACTCAATGCAGATGCCTTACAGGAGAAATTTTCAAAGACTAGCAATATCACAAGTAAAACTGCTGCTTAAAGTAGGTGGAACTATTCATAAACACAAACATCCAAGTTTGCTTGATTTTGAAGTAATTACTCCTGAATTTATAAGTGATAGAATCATAAATTATGCACTTGAAAATCACGAAATTTTCAACAGAAAGCTGATGATAGCAGCTACTTTTTAGTCAGTGATGTCTAGGAGGAAAAAATTACAGTTTGACTCAGATATACACCTGAAATTTTATTGTGAAGGAATCAGAAGCAAAAAAGTGAAAAGCACACCATTAAAACTGGAATTTCACTCTTAGTTAGGCTTAAAGTCCTGAATAAGTTTAACGGTGAGTAGGGAAACCATAAAAGACATTGTGCAGCTTCTAACAGCTTTAAGTGCAAAGTAAATTCGTAAGTGCTATACCTTCTTATGTCGATAGGAGCCAACAAAATGGATCTTAAAATTAGTGTGGTGACTGTGATTTGATCATTGTCCCCAGAAAACAAACACTCGACTGCCAACTCTCGGACTTCTGATGGAACCTGGATGGGCCTTTCATCACCTAATCTATCTAGAGGGAAAAGAAATGTTTCTTGATGTGAAGAAGGTTTCTTGACAGAGGGTTCAACTGCATCTCGCCACGCCTTCCATTGCATTGCCCTGCTTTGTGGGCTAACGAAACATGTGCGGACTAAGAACGATTAATATTAACAACATAATACCTTTTATATCTTCGACAGTATGTTCTGACACAAAAGAATCTGGACACGGAGAAAAATGCGACTCCCCATTAATGACATCGACTAACTTAGCCTTCTCGCTTAGGTAACACTTTATGTCTCTAAAGGTTCAAAAACATTAACTTATTTTAAATACACAATACTCATGGATTCTTTTAGCACCGAGTTGCGCAGACTGCCAGGCATTCAGTAATGTGTAGCCTTCATAGACCTATGAGTGATATCAATAGTAAGCTGCAATTTACAGGTATGACTTGTGCATCTAAATAACCACAGTCCAGAACAACAGCAGAAGAGAGTCCTAGAGTGAACAAAGCCATTAAATGTGAAGCAGCGAAAAGCACAGAAGGCGCCTACGGAGAAACATGTACATACATAAATCATAAGTTTACCTCAAAATGATTGAATAAGATATCCGCCAACAGTTCACGGGATGATGATGGGCAAAGTACACTTTCAACTACAACAACTCGACGGTCCTTTGGATTCACTAATAAGTGTCTATCCACTGTCTGAAGAACTCATTTTATATGACTGCATACCGATAGTACATATTGTAGAGAAATGTTGTCAGGAACCGCTTTTTCTCATCTTTTTCCTTAATGTAAAGGAGACTTTGTTTAACACCCGTGGGCTGAGAATGTAAGTAAACTACATAAGTTAGACAAACCAAAGTAATTTCAGTGGGAATTATAAACCTGGGTCCTGTTTCTCCAGCGAAACCGCACCTGGAGTACTTGTACGACATTAAAAACACTTACTTTGTGTACACAGAACCTATATCAAAAACAACAGCCGTCTTCTCCCCAAGCATCATTGACTCAAGTACAGGCATTTTTTTGATACTACAAAATGTGGCGTACCTGTCGAACTACCCTCCCTCCAACATCCAAGATTCCCTTCACGTTTGCGCATCAAACCTAACTGATTTCCTCTATTGAGCCGACGTCTTACCACTGAGATAACTGATCTTAATGTTCAGCGAGCTTCTGTGTAGTCTCTTTCAACACTCATCTACCGTAGTTTGAAAGGCAGTGAGGGGAATGTAATGCGAAGTTGATTACATGAAATGTGTTAAAACCCTGACATCAGGATTTGTCGGGAGCACCATTAGACATCCGATCTGATTTCGAAGAGGAGACTCTTTGAATGGAGCCGAATGCCTTCATCGCACATTACTTACTTCTTCTGAAACCATGTTAGGCACCATAGAATTTATTGTTCGTTTCAAGGTATTTGCACACCCCTAGTATAACCGGAAGTAAAGCTACCTGGCTATAACTCACTGCATATCGCTGATCTTTACTCTTAAAAATGTGCAAAACTGTGGCTCTCTTTCACACCTTAATCATTTTTCCAAGTCTACGGATTGACAAAATGTTCACATGAAGACCGGCAGAGGGCCTACAACTCATCGTTTATTACTATAACTATTATTCCCTTGGGTTCCGAGTGGAACATAAGAGCTCAACAACACATCCCCACTTTATTCTGCCTTCTGCCGTTCCCTTCAGCTGGGTCCGCGATCGCCCATATTCTTTCATCTCCTCGCCACACGATCTCCTCCATGTCACTCTCGAGGTGACGACCCACTCATCGCTATCCACTGGGATTCCACCCGAGCAATGACCTGCATTGCATGTGATGTCGTTCGATAGGCTCCTCAATATATGCCCGATTCATCTAAATTTTCTCATACATATTTGTTGAATGATCGGCTCTCGGGTGATTTCTTCCCAGCCATAGATTCTTGTTGCTAGTTCTTTCTGGTGAGTAGGTCATCTGATCTTCCGGATGGAGCCAGCGAAGCAGCTGTTGACAAAAGTCTGCAGCCACCTGTTGGAAATGCTTTCCATTACAGGCAGTGCACGTTTCTGACCCATATAGAAGAACAGACTGAGTGACCTCACGTTTGTCTTGAAAATCTGGAGTGCAGATTCCAGACTGGTTTCAGGTTGATAAAGGTGTGTCTTGCCTTCCCAATTCTGGCTGGCTGGCTTTGATATTTTCATCTGTTCCGCCGGCCTGTGGTTGAAACAATGCTTCCCAGTTAGGTGAACGAGGCAAGTGCTGTGAAATCTCTCCCTTTGATGGTGATTAGTGTTGGTTATCGTTGTCGCTGCAGTTGGTTGATTATCTTCATCACCTCCGTCTTCGTTGTATTCTCCTGGGGTCCTGTCTTCAATGCCATACTCTGTAGTCAGTTTGTTGGTTTTCGTCTGCTATTCTTCGAGTTTGTGTGACATTAAGCAAAAATCATCTATGAGCGAAATCCAGATCTTCCAGTGTCTTCCTATCGATCTCCCAGCGTATTCCTGTCTTTTCACTTCCTGTGCAGAGTCTGACGCATATTCCGGTCCACCACAATTAGGAATATCGTTGGTGATGAGACGCAGCCTTGTCTTACGTCGTAGTGTTGGATCAGTTTTCAAACTAATTCATGGTCAGAGGCCTTTCCTAAGTTGATAAGTTGAGGCGGAGTTTTAACTGCCACCCTATGGTCTGTTCTGTGGTGACGATGATGCGTAGAGTTGCAACTGGATCAACACATGACGTCAATGTAGTTGGAGATTGAACGATCAATTCATGGTTGTTTGCTCAAAACCAACTTCCCCAATTTTCGCGGAGGCATCAATGCACCAGTCATCGTCTCATCGGTCGCTGCTCAGAAAGAAGTCAGGAGACAACCGTCGGAAGTAATATTGTGATTTATTATTGTAATATTTGTTCATAGACCCTAGTTGTAAAGCTTAGTTGCAAAATGGCTATATGTTGGTGTTAGAGTAAATAATCCTCGAGTCGCCAAACTGGGTTCTGGTTTTTGGGTCCGTTCGTACCAAGCGTTTCTGAGAAACTTCAAGGAACAGCGTGAGTCCCAGCGTAGCAAGAGGTGGGCATTAACGGTTTACGAGACATGGCTGACACATGACTTATCCTTCTTGAATCCATCTTGTTCCGGGCGGATTTTGTATCTACTGAACTTTTACTCCTTATGGAATGATGCGACTTATTATTTTATTGACCTGGACAAGAGCATTATTCTACGCCAGTTCTTGCGAAAACCTAAGTCGCCCTTCGGCAGCTTGACAAATTAGCCAGTCCTTCATCCAATCTGTAGGGACCTTCCCTTCTTTCCAAACCTTTTGCAGCCATGGTGTGAGGACATCTGCTCGGTCTCTGGGTCCGTTTTCATTGCTTGTGGGGGGCGGAAATTCCCTATGGTTATATTGCATTCCCTGCCGGCGTTCATCAGCCTGATAGCAATCAAGATTTCTGCTCTCGTTGGGGTGTTGGTGTTCGCTAGCAGGCTGTTCCGTGCGTGTTGTTGTAGTTGGTGATATTTCTGGGTGAGTTGCATCAGATGGTCGGTTAAGGAGGGCCTTGGGGCGATCTCCCCAGTGTTTTATTTGTTTCTCCTCTTTGGTATTCAGATTCCTTTGAACGTCTTTTATTGGTTTTTACCATCTGTATGGAATTTTCAGAATGGACAACTGTAGCCCAATTTTTGAAGGCCAACCATAGATATCAGGTGTGCGTCGGCAGGGGGTAGAACGTCGGACCACGCGCATGGTCGGTGAGAGTCCTAACCACTGTGCCACCGACGTACATTTATCATATAATGCTCTTAGGTTTCTTTTATCTGACTTTGGCCTGCTTGTTGCCGGCCAGTGTGTCAGAGAGTTGTCTTTTGTCTTTTAACTAGCACATTTCTTCACTTCTTTATTCAGTACGCTGCACAGTGAACTCAGCTTCTCCTTCTGTTGTCCATCTTTGCACTGAGTCATCCTCTCTTTCACCATCCTCCTCTCGTGTCATCGTTTATAAACTGATATTAGGATTTCGCCTCAACTCAGGTGGTTACTTTGGCTAAGCCCACTTTTTCATCCAGGACCATTATTGCGTTAGTCTGGGAATAGACTGCCATGCTTTTGATCAGTAATTTAGTAGAGAGACCCTTTCGTCTTACAGTGGTAATGTCTATCGTTTTGTTGAGCTTTTCATCTGGGGCAGAAGTAAATATGTGAGCCTTTCCCATGCCAGTGAGATACTATTAATATAAACCTTTCAGGACTCACAATTTTGGCTGGTGGATTTTGCTTTCCAACATGAATACGTATAAATTCCTTTTGTTCAAAAAGATATTGTTGGCAAGTTATGTCAGAAATTACCTCCTCAGTCCCGCATATATCTCACGGTTAGTTTGCCCTCTGAAGTGTCAACATTTGAGAATATATTATTATTATTTGTAACGTGCTTTTCTGTTAGATTGCGGAGTATGCTGTGTTAGTTGCCTTAACCATAAGAAAAGCTCCTCGAGGATTGAGGTGACAAGTGTTCGCACTGTGAATACTAATCATTACATTTCCTAGTGTTCATCATTTATAAGGCTACTTGAAATTTAGGCCATGAGTCATAAGATAACAATTTCCTAATTGTTGTGTGGTCATATCATCTGTAACGTAGACAAGGTAGCTTAACATCCTAACTGTTCTCTGGCAAGGCACTAGGTCAAACATCATAACGAAGTTTCAACTTGTAAGCTTTAACTAGTGTGAAATGTGACATCATCCATACATCTGAATGGACTAAAATTTGTCTGAACACACTGCGATTCCGTATTGGTGGACGGATCTTCAGAGCCTCCAGCTATGAATATTTGATTTTATCCTAGATTCCGTCTTGTCATGATGGTTCAAGGCAAGCGCTACTTCTGCACTCCCCACATTTGGGTTTTGGACGGACGCCACCCAATAGATGTTTGCTGTAACCAGAGGTGAAACCACTCAGTGAAGGTTTCTGGGAGTTTAGTAAGTGGCAGGCACGTTGCAGACCTGTATCTTGACTACTTAGTGGAATGTATGGCTGCTCTAGATCTTTCTTTATGATCGCTATCCCTAATGGTTTATACTGGCTTCAGTGTCCGAATAGCTGTAGTCAGCGGTGATTGTCTCAGTATCACTGTCTGGAGATCCAGGTAGGAATGCAGGTTCTGAAGTTCAGCCATTTCACTTCTCTCGTAACCCATTTATTATATAAACGGATGCTAGTGGGTTGTCTCGCTTTGTTGTGATGTGGATGGCGCAAAATGTCTACTGGTTTGATGTCCAAACTAGTTTCCCTATCGCAGTGGAACCTGCTTTTCACCGTTCCCCCGAGTCATTTGCAGACACTTACGTGACTATGATGTCACTCTCTTCCCCATTTCATTTCTTAGTACAAATGGGACGCGAAGACGCAGCGGCACTACAGTTTGCTGCTCCTTCAAGAGTCAAGGTCAACTCTCGTAGTGTCGTATGTCCCACCAATCCTACTTTAAACGACGAATCAGTGGCGGAGCACTTTGGTTGGCCTTTCTAGGGAGCTCTACTTTGGCGCTAGCATATAAATTTAGCCGAATGACATGTGGCTAGTGAGGCGAAGAAACCTACAAATAGCAGCTGCTCGAGGCCCAGTAGGGACCTGCCAAGATGACAGTCGTCTCCATTACTGGACATTGTTTGCCTCGGTCGGAAGCCATTTATTCCTTGTCCCGAAACGCGGGGCATGGGCATAAAGGTATGAGACACTAGTTCCTGTAACTGTCTTACTATTCAGCAGAACTTCTGTGGCTTGTAAGGTCTCATTCTTGAGTTCAAGGAACTCCTTAAAACTATGACTTGTCGAAGTCAGCGAATATTCTTAGCGTTTTGCAAATTTTTGAGTTGTCCCTTAACGGGATGGTCAACCTTGAGTATTGCCAATACTTGAACAGCCTACACAATTGTGCGAGCATGATGTAAAGCCACACTAACACACCTAACATCCATTGTTCAGTTTCAATCCCCAGTTTAGTCC